TTTTGTATGTTGCTATGTAAGTCATATCACATTTTGTATGTTGCTATGTAAGTCATATCACATTTTGTATGTTGCTATGTAAGTCATATCACATTTTGTATGTTACTATGTAAGTCATATCACATTATGTATGTTGCTATGTAAGTCATATCACATTATGTATGTTGCTATGTAAGTCATATCACATTATGTATGTTACTATATATGTCATACCACATTATGTATGTTACTATGTAAGTCATATCACATTATGTATGTTGCTATGTAAGTCATATCACATTATGTATGTTGCTATGTAAGTCATATCACATTATGTATGTTGCTATGTAAGTCATATCACATTATGTATGTTGCTATGTAAGTCATATCACGTTATGTATGTTACTATGTAAGTCATATCACGTTATGTATGTTACTATGTAAGTCATATCACATTATGTATGTTGCTATGTAAGTCATATCACATTATGTATGTTGCTATGTAAGTCATATCACATTTTGTATGTTGCTATGTAAGTCATATCACATTATGTATGTTACTATGTAAGTCATATCACATTTTGTATGTTGCTATGTAAGTCATATCACATTATGTATGTTGCTATGTAAGTCCCTAACTCTACCCACGATACCACTATTTAAGTCAACTTACTCTATATAAGATGTAAGTCATATCTCAGATGTAAGTCATATCTCAGATGTAAGTCATATCTCTAGATGTAAGTCATATCTCAGATGTAAGTCATATCTCAGCTGTAAGTCATATCTCAGCTGTAAGTCATATCTCAGATGTAAGTCATATCTCAGCTGTAAGTCATATCTCAGCTGTAAGTCATATCTCAGATGTAAGTCATATCTCAGATGTAAGTCATATCTCAGATGTAAGTCATATCTCAGCTGTAAGTCATATCGTTAATTCAACAAACGTGTCCCTATAGTCCGACGCCACTTAAGATATTTATACTATTTAAACAGGCCAATATTTGCCCAGCCCCCCCCCCTCCCCCGTCGTGTCAACTAAAGAGATACCATCAAATGTTGAGCTGTGGTGTATTCAGCTTTGTGTGTGTGTGGGGGGGGGTGTGTGTCAGGTTTGTGGGGGGTGTGTGTCAGGTTTGTGGGGGGTGTGTGTCAGGTTTGTGGGGGATGTTTGTCGACTTGAACCAAACACTCGATCATCACGATACAACACAAACATATTCACCAAGTGCTTGTCACGATACAACACAAACATATTCACCAAGTGCTTGCTCCGGTCATGCTGAAATCTGATCAGCTTTTAAATTCTTTTCAAGTCGGCCTACACCCAGGTATTGTGACCCCCCCCCCTCCCCCATCCCTTCTCCACCATTCAATACCCCACCCACGCCCCGCCTTTTCTCAGGCGAGAAAAATCTAGAATTTTTTTTTTTTAGATGGGAAACAGTTGAAGCGATTGGCAGACAATACAGACAAATCACAACAGACAAATCACAACAGACAAATCACAACAGACAAATCACAACAGACAAATCACAACAGACAAATCACAACAGACAAATCACAACAGACAAATCACAACAGACAAATCACAACAGACAAATCACAACAGACAAATCACAACAGACAAATCACAACAGACAAATCACAACAGACAAATCACAACAGACAAATCACAACAGACAAATCACAACAGACAAATCACAACAGACAAATCACAACAGACAAATCACAACAGACAAATCACAACAGACAAATCACAACAGACAAATCACAACAGACAAATCACTACAGACAAATCACAACAGACAAATCACAACAGACAAATCACAACAGACAAATCACAACAGACAAATCACAACAGACAAATCACAACAGACAAATCACTACAGACAAATCACAACAGACAAACTATAAACAGGCAAATTTTAAACAAATTATAAACAGACAAAACGTAAAAAGACAAATCATAAACAGACAAATGACACAAAACCAACAACTCCCAATTAAGCTGATCAACACCAATCAAACACCTCCCAATTAAGTTGATCAACACCAATCAAACACCTCCCAATTAAGTTGATCACCAATCAAACACCTCCCAATTAAGTTGATCAACACCAATCAAACACCTCCCAATTAAGTTGATCAACACCAATCAAACACCTCCCAATTAAGTTGATCAACACCAATCAAACACCTCCCAATTAAGTTGATCACCAATCAAACACCTCCCAATTAAGTTGATCACCAATCAAACACCTCCCAATTAAGTTGATCACCAATCAAACACCTCCCAATTAAGTTGATCAACACCAATCAAACACCTCCCAATTAAGTTGATCACCCATCAAACACCTCCCAATTAAGTTGATCAACACCAATCAAACACCTCCCAATTAAGTTGATCAACACCAATCAAACACCTCCCAATTAAGTTGATCAACACCAATCAAACACCTCCCAATTAAGTTGATCAACACCAATCAAACACCTCCCAATTAAGTTGATCAACACCAATCAAACACCTCCCAATTAAGTTGATCAACACCAATCAAACACCAATCAACACCAATCAACACCAATCAAACACCAATCAAACACCTACCAATTAAGTTGATCAACACCAATCAAACACCAATCAAACACCAATCAACACCAATCAACACCAATCAACACCAATCAAACACCTCACCACTCCACGCTGGTCCTATACAGCACGCCAATTGATAGGCAGAGAATTCATTGAATATTATTGTATAGGCATTCAGGCTATTGGCCTTCAGCCAGTTGGCCTAAGTTGGCAGTTGGCCTAAGTTGGCAGTTGGCCTAAGTTGGCAGTTGTCCTAAGTTGGCAGTTGGCCTTTGGGAAGTTGGCCTTTGGGCAGTTGGTCTTTGGGCAGTTGGCCTTTGGGCAGTTGGCCTTTGGGTAGTTGGCCTTTGGGCAGTTGGCCTTTGGGCAGTTGGCCTTTGGGCAGTTGGCCTTTGTGCAGTTGGCCTTTGGGCAGTTGGCCTTTGGACAGTTGGCCTTTTGCCAGTTGGCCTAGATCAGTAGAGTTTTGGTCCCATAAAAGCGCCCTGTCAAGAAGATCTCGTCAACTTGATATCTTTTAAAAGTCTCTTAAACTTGGTGCAGTACACAAGTGGAGATAAGTCTTTAGACGTTCAACATTCAAATGGGCGAGTTTAGCACACTGTTGAGTGGGTGGACGTCACTGACGTCACTTGCTCCATCCATGAATGGTTAGACGTCAGTGACGTCATGTCTTCAATCCTCCACAGCGCGCCTACAGATAGAGTCATGTTATAGGCAGAGAGAGACGCTTGTATGGAGGGGAAGTCGCTCTCTACTACCCCGAGTTGCCTCACGACAGCAATGGCCTTGTTACGTTTATCTTAGCTCCCGTCGTATTTAGCTCCGTCACTTTTAGCTCTGTTGTGCTTGGTTCCGTCTTGTCATATTTATCTCCGCCATGTTTTTTTTTTCAACCCGCCATCTTGAGCTGCTATGTTCTATGTTCTATGTTCCCAGTTTAAAGCTGACTGACGGATAAAATGCAATTTAAAATTAACGGATACAGCTGTCTGTAACCTGCCCGTCAAATAAGATCTGGAATCGGAACTTGCCTATCACCCCCCCCCCCCCCCCCGCCCCACAATAAGCTGGCACATACCACGGAGCCGAGACTATTTATCTAGATTCTATTTTTTCTCTATCAACCGCTCGTGTAGCAAATGTCAACTTCTCTGAGAGAAAAAATACTCCCATTGTTTTCGACTGAGTGCCGCCCCGCTAGGGACGCCCCGCTCCCAGCCCGGCGTCTCGCTGTACATTCCCCTCCACCCTCCTCTCGTTTGTTGAACGTGGCTTTGTTGACTCGCAAAGTGTCAAATTGGCTTCCAGAAATATAGAGATAGGCAAGAAAATGTTCTTCCAAAGTGTCAAATTGGCTTCCAGAAATATAGAGATAGGCAAGAAAATGTTCTTCCAAAGTGTCAAATTGTGGGCAATGTTCTTATAACCAGTCTATACTTGCACCCCTGACGTCAGAAACCCAACCAGTCTATACTTGCACCCCTGACGTCAGAAACCCAACCCAACCAGTGTATACTTGCACCTCTGACGTCAGAAACCCAACCCAACCAGTCTATACTTGCACCCCTGACGTCAGAAACCCAACCAGTCTATACTTGCACCCCTGACGTCAGAAACCCAACCCAACCAGTCTATACTTGCACCTCTGACGTCAGAAACCCAACCCAACCAGTCTATACTTGCACCCCTGACGTCAGAAACCCAACCCAACCAGTCTATACTTGCACCCCTGACGTCAGAAACCCAACCCAACCAGTCTATACTTGCACCCCTGACGTCAGAAACCCAACCAGTGTATACTTGCACCTCTGACGTCAGAAACCCAACCAGTCTATACTTGCACCCCTGACGTCAGAAACCCAACCCAACCAGTCTATACTTGCACCCCTGACGTCAGAAACCCAACCCAACCAGTCTATACTTGCACCTCTGACGTCAGAAACCCAACCCAACCAGTCTATACTTGCACCAATGACGTCAGAAACCCAACCCAACCAGTCTATACTTGCAGGGAGTTCCCATGCTTGTAGAGCTAGGAACCCTGATCAGCACGGTAAAATATGTCCGGAATAATGGAAGGAAAAAGAAGCGGATAAACTCACATTTCCGACGGCCGCGCCATATTTGAGGAACTGGGAGGGAAATGGACGGCTTCCGGGTGAGCCACTCGTTCCGCGCACAATATATTTGTACTGGTAATTGGAGGGGCGGGCACTATACGGCGGCTAGTGCAGTCCTGCTAGACAGAGGTTAATATAATCCTGCTAAACAGCGGCTAAAATAGTCCCGCTAAAAAAGTAAAAATCCCTTTCGAACTACGTGATGTAGTGTAACCGTCGTATCACGTGATGTAGTGTAACCGTCGTATCGCGTGATGTAGTGTAACCGTCGTATCGCGTGATGCAGCAGACGACCATTTGGCACCATGCTTCAGACATCCCCCCAGAATGTTTCTTTTGGTCTACAGGCCCAGATCAACACGTACATGCCACTCGCCTTCAAACTATCGAGTGCAGACATTTTCTCCCAGACTCTCCAAAAGATGTCTGTCATTCCCCTTCAGTCCCCAGAGATGATTGGAAACCTTTTGTCTGGGACCGGAGTCCCACTCTCTGCTACTGGTCTCATGGGGACCTACACCGTGCCGGGTGACTTGGTGCTGTCCGGCACCAACTCAGTGCTGTCCGGCACAAACTCAGTGCTGTCCGGCACCAACTCAGTGCTGTCCGGCACCAACTCAGTGCTGTCCGGCACCAACTCAGTGCTGTCCGGCACCAACTCAGTGCTGTCCGGCACCAACTCAGTGCTGTCCGGCACCAACTCAGTGCTGTCCGGCACAAACTCAGTGCTGTCCGGCATGCGGCTATCCGGCATACTACACGTATGTCTAGCTAGGGTCATTAGTTCATCAAAGCCAGTTGCAATGTTGTCATCATTATGAGCCCTATTAAATATTTTAACTTTTATTTGACGTGCTTTCCCTATCTGTCGTCAAAGATAGAAACGGGCAAGCAAAATTTCGGGCACTTCTAACCAACCAATTTCTCTAAAATTCAGCTTGTGGGTCAAGACTTTAAAACAATGCAATATGACATTAAATTTGATTTAACTGGATGCCTAATTATTTTTAGCGCAATTTCCATTCTGGAGAATTGCGTTTATTAACCCGTCATTTCTGGATGTATGGATGGATGGATGGATGTGTGTCCGCAGCTTTAAGTCGTATCTCCTCCTCAACGAAGCAATATCGATGACTAGTTCTAAAAGCAATTATGTTAAGCAAGTTACGAGGATGAACATAGGCCATAAAAATTCCGGGTTTCTTTCATGGATTTCCCGGAAAAGCCAAAAACCTCGAAAAAAGCAGTTTTTGGCCCATATCTCGGCAACCAGACCACTTAGCGACTTGAAACATGTACCAATCGATTCTTGCCATAATTTAGAACAATATTGCCGAAGAAAGTTTTCAAAAATATCCTTTCGTTCGGTCACAAAAAAAATTTTGAATTAATTAAAATTTTGACCGAATTAGTAGGCATTTTTTCCAACCACACCACACGCGTCATCACGTTCAATAGCTGCGCCATCACGTTCAATGGCTGCGTCATCACGTTCAGTAGCTAGGCGCGCAATGGTTTTTAGTCATGCAACTCTATTGTAAATAAAACATGTAAAATACTGAAAAAAAATTAATAAAAAACGTTTTAATAACTAACCAATGGTTTTACTAACCCTGCTCTTGATTTACGCTACGACAGAGCTATTTTTAGATAACATAAGGAAATTACGCTTAAATGTCACTAGACTTTTTAATTAACTTGTTTTTTTAATAATTGATTAAAAGTTTCTAAAATTAGTAGTACTAGTACTCATTCCGCAACAGTTTTTAGTCATGCAATTCTATTGTAATGAACAATTTTAAAGTACTCAAAAGCGTGGGTCTCTTCATACATATTAATAAACGTATCCAATAGGTAATAAAGTGACCCACGCTTTTCATTACCGTAAATTTAATAGCTGTGTACTATTATATACTTAAAGAAAAATCATTTCTTTTCTCCTTTTTAGTGCATTACTAGAATACCCGTCATCCGTTGGATAACTGTGGGTTTCGGGGGTCATCCATCAAAAAACACCACGTCTGTCACTCAGAGGCATAGCGACCCTTCCCGGCGCCCGGGGACAAACTTTTCGATTTGAACCCCCCCCCCCCCAAGATTTCGATTTTCAACCCCCCCCCCCTCAAACTTTTGATGTGCACCCCCCCCCCCACTCAAACTTTCGATTTGAACCCCCCTCAACCTTTCAATTTATTTTTCCAAACTATTTTGGCGCCCCAACATATGTCGTCCCCCCCGCACCCCCCTTGCCCCCTCCCCCCACCTACCCCCCCCCCGCCTCCCCTCCCCTCCCGCCCCACCCCCCTCCTCGCTACGCTACTGCAGTGTCACTTATCGTCACAAAAAACAGACCCCACATTCAAAAATATGTTTCTTATCTTTTAAAAACACCGAAAACACCGATTTCGGACTATCCCTTCATATACTGACGTCACATGTGACCTACTCAACTCTACTTCACCTGCCCAGTGTCCCGCCAAGTCTCAGACAACATGTTTTTATCGTTTAAAAAACGATTCCAGCCGAGCATGTCTCTGACCACACTATCCTTTCATATGCTTAGGACAAAGAAACAGATGAACTCTATTTCACCTGCCCTGTATCCTGCCAAGTTCAGATGGGCAACTTTATCATTCACATCTAAAAAAAAAAAAAATTGAAAAAAAATATCATTGACATATTGGTCTAGAACCTGTGCCACCCGCATGAGAGCGGACTACGCTACCAACTTAGCTATTTACTCGTTACGTCACAAATGAATTTTTATACTATACTTTTGAGTCTCCGCGCATAGATCTAGATCTAAGTCTAGTAGTAGAATCTAGTAACTTTCAAATTAAATTTTATCTTAAATTAGCCAAACAAAGATTAATATAAAATAATTAAGGCCTGAAATAGATTCTAGATGTATTAAGGCCTGAAATAGATTCTAGATGTAGAATTTACATTAAGTCTAGATCAAGAATTTACATTGAGTCTAGTGACCTAGATCTAGGCTAGATCTAGATCTAGGCTAGATTCATAACTTTCCTTCGACAGCTGATCTTTAGATCTAGAGAAATTTATTGTAAAACTAAATGAAAAAAGACAGTTTAAAATTGATATAAGTGTTGGAACGTAATAAATACAGCAAACGGACGTATTGTTAAAGTTATGACCGACAGAAAATTAGATTTAGAACGCTTTAAACTTTTGAATGGGAACACAATTTTCTTCGATAGACGCCGCCATTTTATTGTACTAAAGAGTAAACAAAAACCTGTGACGTCACTATTCCCACAAAGTTTAGTCAATGTTTTAACATTTTTAAAAAAATGGGTTACTCTACGTATGAATAAATCAATAAATTAATTAACGTCTTTAAATAAATTTGTGATTAACAGTCTGTCTGCATTAAAAAATTATTCTCTACCTACATACTATTTTACAGCTCTCCAGATAGAGTCGAACATATCACAAAACTCGATCGGACAAACAAACAAACAAACAAAAAAACAAATAAATATTCAAACATGTAAACAAACTTGACTTTTAGTAGTATTAGATAGATTAACATACACGCTTATTTAAACGCATTTTATGCAATTTTATTGCTTTCTTTTGAAGTGAAATCTTAAATAGACAATACTGAATTATTTTGTCCATGACAATTAAACCTGTATGCTACTGCAGTTTTACCTGCAAGTTGCCTGATATATAGAAGTTACTGCAGTTTTACCTGCTAGTTCCCTGATATATTTACGGCCTGCTAGTTCCCTGATATATTTACGGCCTGCTAGTTCCCTGATATATTTACGGCCTGCTAGTTCCCTGATATATTTATGGCCTGCTAGTTCCCTGGTATATTTACGGCCTGCTAGTTCCCTGATATATTTACGGCCTGCTAGTTCCCTGATATATTTACGGCCTGCTAGTTCTGATATATTTACGGCCTGCTAGTTCCCTGATATATTTACGGCCTGCTAGTTCCCTGATATATTTACGGCCTGCTAGTTTCCCTGATATATTTACGGCCTGCTAGTTTCCTGATATATTTATGGCCTGCTAGTTCCCTGATATATTTACGGCCTGCTAGTTCCCTGATATATTTACGGCTGCTAGTTCCCTGATTTATTTACGGCCTGCTAGTTCCCTGATATATTTACGGCCTGCAAGTTCCCTGATATATTTACGGCTGCTAGTTCCCTGATTTATTTACAGCCTGCTAGTTCCCTGATATATTTACGGCCTGCTAGTTCCCTGATATATTTACGGCCTGCTAGTTCCCTGATATATTTATGGCCTGCTAGTTCCCTGATATATTTACGGCCTGCTAGTTCCCTGATATATTTACGGCCTGCTAGTTCCCTGATTTATTTACAGCCTGCTAGTTCCCTGATATATTTACGGCCTGCTAGTTCCCTGATATATTTAAGGCTGCTAGTTCCCTGATATATTTACAGCCTGCTAGTTCCGTGATATATTTACGGCCAGCTAGTTCCCTGATATATTTACGGCCTGCTAGTTCCCTGATATATTTACGGCCTGCTAGTTCCCTGATATATTTATGGCCTGCTAGTTCCCTGATATATTTACGGCCTGCTAGTTTCCTGATATATTTACGGCTGCTAGTTCCCTGATTTATTTACGGCCTGCTAGTTCCCTGATATATTTACGGCTGCTAGTTCCCTGATTTATTTACAGCCTGCTAGTTCCCTGATATATTTACGGCCTGCTAGTTCCCTGATATATTTTGGGCTGCTAGTTCCCTGATATATTTACGGCTGCTAGTTCCCTGATTTATTTACAGCCTGCATGTTCCCTGATATATTTACGGCCTGCTAGTTCCCTGATATATTTACGGCCTGCTAGTTCCCTGATTTATTTACAGCCTGCTAGTTCCCTGATATATTTACGGCCTGCTAGTTCCCTGATATATTTAGGGCTGCTAGTTCCCTGATATATTTACGGCTGCTAGTTCCCTGATTTATTTACAGCCTGCATGTTCCCTGATATATTTACGGCCTGCTAGTTCCCTGATATATTTACGGCTGCTAGTTCCCTGATTTATTTACAGCCTGCTAGTTCCCTGATATATTTACGGCCTGCTAGTTCCCTGATATATTTAGGGCTGCTAGTTCCCTGATATATTTACGGCCTGCTAGTTCCGTGATATATTTACGGCCTGCTAGTTCCCTGATATATTTACGGCCTGCTAGTTCCCTGATATATTTACGGCCTGCTAGTTCCCTGATATATTTATGGCCTGCTAGTTCCCTGATATATTTACGGCCTGCTAGTTCCCTGATATATTTACGGCTGCTAGTTCCCTGATTTATTTACGGCCTGCTAGTTCCCTGATATATTTACGGCCTGCTAGTTCCCTGATATATTTACGGCTGCTAGTTCCCTGATTTATTTACAGCCTGCTAGTTCCCTGATATATTTACGGCCTGCTAGTTCCCTGATATATTTAGAGCTGCTAGTTCCCTGGTATATTTACGGCCTACTAGTTCCCTGATATATTTACGGCCTGCTAGTTCCCTGATATATTTACAGCGTGCTAGTTCCCTGATATATTTACGGCCTGCTAGTTCCCTGATATATTTAGGGCTGCTAGTTCCCTGATATATTTACGGCCTGCTAATTCCCTGATTTATTTACAGCCTGCTAGTTCCCTGATATATTTACGGCCTGCTAGTTCCCTGATTTATTTACGGCCTGCTAGTTCCCTGATATATTTACGGCCTGCTAGTTCCCTGATATATTTACGGCCTGCTAGTTCCCTGATATATTTACGGCCTGCTAGTTCCCTGATATATTTACGGCCTGCTAGTTCCCT